TGTGTGTGTGTGTGTGTGTGTGTGTGTGTGTGTGTGTGTGTGTGTGTGTGACAGAAAAGGCAGCAAACATATTTTCAAGTCCAAATCAATTTTCTAAAAGCATTTCCAAAAACAAACATTGTCTTTGTGAAATATATTCTTTTCCACACTGTGGTTTTTATATTGCTCTTATCTTTTCTCACCAAGCCTGCTGTATTTTTGTTTTCTTCATTTTTCTTGTTAATATGTTTATAAAGATTTGCTGTACAGTGCTCAGTGATCTTTTATAAATGTGGAAGTGTCAGTGTTTTAATACAACTGATTTATAGACTTACTCTTTCAGATACAGCATTTCATGTTCAATATAGCTACTTTTTTTCCTATTCTGCCACTTGTTCGCTTTATTTTAATTTGATTTCTTGAAATCCAATATTTGTACCAAAACTCTATTTTTATGAAATTATGTCATAAAATACTCATATTTGTGTAACATAGTATGATTGGATTAAATTAGCTTAAAGTCATTAACTAGTATTTAATTCATGACTAGAGAACATGCATATTTTTTAAAAAAAAACACCCTCTCCCTTGTGCTTTCTGAATCTCAGAATGAATAAGAGAGTTTTGAAAATTATTCTTGTAGTACAGCCTGCATTGGAAGATAAACTTCCTTAATGTGCTGTGTGTAACTATAGATAAAGAAATCAGCTGGAGTCTTTTTCTTCAGTGCAATATCTTAGAAAAGTTAGATTATTATATTACATTTGTTATCTTCAGTTCTGTAGAGTGAGTAAAAATCCAGCTACCTCCCTGCTCTATAAATCAAAAGTAATGGTCAGATAACAGCAAAAAATAAATTCTGGCTCAACAGTATTAATTACTTGAGATGTTGGAGGATTGAATAAATACTGGGGGAGAAACACTTTTGGGGGGGGTGTTGTGTTAGATAAAGAGATTTTTCTTTATCTAAGAAAAGTTAAAAAGGCACAGCTGAACAAGAAGTTCTGTATATCCTACATTCTTACATATTATTTTTGTTTTGTTTTTGTTTTTTGGGTTCCAGCATGAGAGTCCAAGTAATTTGAGGGCAGAATCAATACACTGTTTTTCAAATTGATTGAATTGTGGGAGGGAGGAAAAGAAGGAGGGAAGGAAGGCGGAAGGAAAGGAGGTTAAAGACCTCTTATGAATAAAAGTGGATAATGTAAATCAGATCCATAGTTTGGGCTTCATTAGAAATATTGTATAACTGAATCTCTAGCTAATAAATACAAATTAGTTAATGAATAATACATCCTGCTTCCAGAACTCAAAATATTGTGCATTTATAAGTACTATGCTATCAAAAACAATATTGTCTAAATATGGTGATACTTATAACATTTTTAAAACATTAAATTGTTCGTCCCAAAGGTGCTTTTTCAAGGGGCAACTGGACTTTCTGGTTTTTCTTTGAAGATGTTTTGATTCTCATCTGAGAAGCTTCTTCAGCTCTGACTGGATGACTGAGAATCTCCATAGATGTTAAATTGTTTGGTATTAATATTGGAGAGTCTAAACCATGGTGGATTTCAGACCGTACCGGTTGCAACAGGGCTGCACGTCCACCACATGCATGCACGCATGCGTACTTACCGCCTGTGACACTCTGCAACGGCTCCGCAACGGCTCCACAATGCTCCAGTTGCTCAGTAGAGCGTCGCACAGGCGCTATAAGAGCTGAGGTGGTGCAGTGGTTAAATGCAGCACTGCAGGCTACTTCAGCTGACTGCAGTTCTGCAGTTCGGCTGNTTTCCATATATATATAATATATGTAAACTTACCTTCAAATCCTGGTAGTCCTGGAGTTCCTGGAGAACCTGGGTCTCCTACCACACCAGAAGGACCTGGTAAGCCATTATTTCCCGCCTGGCCAGGTATGCCTGCTTTTCCTTTTGGACCTGGTCATTAACATAGAAATTTTGTCCCATTCATTTATGATAACCATTTCAAGTCAGAAGTCAGAAGAGACAGATACGCTTAAGAAGACGACCAGCTTATCTTGGCTTGGAATGCGATATGTCTAGTCTAATGAAGACAAGGACTAGAGGGTGACATGATAGCAGTGTTACAATATTTGATGGGCTGCCACAAAGAAGAGGGAGTCAACTTAATCTCCAAAGCACCTGCAGGCAGGACAAGAAGCAATGGGTAGAAACTAATCAAGGAGAGAAGCAACATAGACCTAAGGAGAAATTTCCTGACAGTGAGAACAACTGGTCAGTGAATCGGTCTGCCTCTTGAAGTTGTGGGTCCTTCATTCCTGGAGGGTTTTAAGAAGAGATTGGACAACCACTTGTATGAAATGGCATAGGTTCCCCTGCTTGAGCAGGGGGCTGGACTAGAAGACCTCCAGGGTCTCTTCCAACTATATTACCCTGTTTCTTCGAAAATAAAACCTCCACAGATAATAAGCCCAATTGGGCTTTTGAGCGCATGCAGTAAAATAAGTCCTCCCCCGAAAATAAGCCCTCCCCTAAAATATTTAAACGCATGCAATTTCCTGGGGAAAAGGGGGGAGCATGCCCCACATGCACCTACCAACCCTGGGGAACAGCCTTGCGGAGGCTGCTCCTACAAACCCTAGCCACCGCGCCCCTTCTCTTAGTGGCGGCTGAAAAAGGAGCGGCAGGCCTAGCGATGCTCGGGCTGGCAAGAGTGGGCCAGAAACAGAGACAGAACTTCCATCCCTCTCTGGATCAGCTGATCCACGGGTCAAGGTTAAGGGGCCTCCTGCACCTCAAAAATAATAAGACCTCCCTGAAAATAAGGCCAAGCGCTTATTTTTGGGGCCAAAAGAAATTAAGACCCTGTCTTATTTTTGGGGAAACACAGTAGTCTGTTATTCTGCTTTTACAAAGAATAAAAAAGCAAGCTCTCATTAGGGTTTCTCTTAGGAGCCAGTATTCAAAGCATTCTGTTTTAAGCCTGAAGATCTTTATAGATAGCCATAGGAAGATAGATCCTCCAAGGACATCTTTTCCCGAGTCCCAGCTTTGCATACCCCCTTTCTATAGACAATGTAACTTATTTTTTACCTTGTGGTCCTCTTTGCCCCTGGAAGCCAGGATCTCCATTTAAACCAGGGTTGCCATTATTTCCAGGCAATCCGATTGTGCCAGGAGGAGCTCTGATATCTTTTGGTGGTTGGGTTAGGCCCGGAGCGCCTTGTAGCCCAGGAAAACCTATATAACACAGAGGAAGAATGACTTGTAAAATGACATTCATGTGGTCATCCTACTGATTTGGTCAGAAAATCCAAGGTAACGTCATTATTAGAGCATGTAACAATCTCACAATAAATTGCTAAAGTGTAAAACATTCTTCCCTCCCAATTGTTCTTCCTGTCTTCAATCCGCAGTGAAAGATGTCTCAACCTAGAGCAGGGGTCGGCAACCTGCGGCTC